CCTCACAGCGGTGCTGCACCACACCTGTGCTGTTCTGCACTGAATGAAGTTTCCTTCACCGCACCACAATTTGGGGATTCCTGTTGGTATTGAATTGGCACCAATAGTTGACATATCCTAGTCAATCCTCACCACAGCCTCGTTAGTAACCCTATTTTATAGACAGAAGCTGCAGCACAAGGATAAAGAACGTGGTGCCAGAGGACAATGGCCCGCGCCTCTGCCTCTCAGCTCTCAGAGGGAGCCTAAGGTCTAGTAAACGCACACCGAGCCCGGAGAGAGGCCGCCTCCGGGAGGTCAAAGAACAGCCCAGTCTCCACCCCGAAGCAGCTCACATTGGAGGAAAACAACGAAGAATGCACAACAGCCTTTACTGCCACCCTGCTCATCAAACTCCGCTCATCAAACTCCATTACAAACGAAGACAGGCACCTGGTCAGCCTAATACTTAGAAGAGCCAGCCCTGGGCTTTATCACGTCTGGGACTTGTTAAAGAAATGCTCTCTTTAGCCTTCAGTGCTCAAGATCAACGCCGGCTAGTAACCAACAAGCTACTAATCACAGTCCATCGCTGCAATGAAAAGCCTCACGCGCTCCCCTTTGCTGCTCCAGCAATTTCCAACCAGGTGAAAAATATAAAGACCAATTATTTAAAGGTACTGGAGAGCTATGAATAGCAGGCAGAAACTGGGGGGGAGTTACCCCCTAAAAGAGGAGGGTTGGAACGGACAAGCTGACATGACGTGTGTTTGCACACGGGACTGGAGCTCAGGCAGAAAGCCGCAAGCCTCCCAGCTCTGAGTCAGAGACAGGAGTTTGGTCATGGCTGGGTGCCTGGAAAGAGAGGGGCATCTCCATGCCTCAGGAAGGAGGTAACTGCAGAGAGAGGAAGCCCTGAAATCTGTTCATAAACTAAGCTCTGGCCTGTGGCCAGTCCCGGAACTGTCCGTGCACAGGGAGAATCCAAGCAGCAGGAGGAGGCAGCTCACAGGCCAACTGCACCAAGTGGAGATTACAGAAGAGATTTCAGTTTCAGTCTAGACAAGGAAACTTCCAGAACAAAAATCAACACTCTACACAAAAAACCAATTCACTGCAATGGACCATCGACACGTCCAATACACAAATATTACTACATGTTCAAAGACACAAGATGATGTGACCCACAGTAAAGAGAAAAGGAAGTCAACAGAAATGGATCCTGAGATAAATCAGTGGTTAAAATGAGCAAATAAGAACTTTAAAGCAGTTAATCTAGTGTGATCAACGATTTAATGGAAAACATGGTCACAATAACAGATGACATATCTCAGCAGAGAAACAGAAACTATAAAAAAGCAGGTGGAAGTTCTGGAAATGTTTCTCTCTTCTGAATAGAGGCCACAGCTTTCATCAGATGGCCAAAGGAGCTGGCGGCTACCAACCCCCCAGAATAAAGAACGAGTGACCTACCAGACTTGAAAACCTAAGCCCGGCTCATGTGCTTTCCTGGTGCCTTTCCCAGGGCGGCGCCAGCCCCTCCACCAGGACAGCCCTCCTGCACGGGAGCGGCAGCAGCTGCTGGGGCAGCCCTGCCCGGTGGACCAGGGAAGGGGTATGAAGTGGCAGCGCCTCACACAGAACAGGAAAGACCACGTGCCCTTCAGAAATAAAGTCAGGCGCGCTGTGGCAGGCTAAAGGGCCATCCCCAAAGACCTCAGGTCCTGGCCTCTGGAACTGTGAATGTCACCTTAGAGGAAATAGGGACTTTGCAGGTGTGACTGACAAGAAGCCTGACACGGGAGAGGATCTGCAGGCCATGAACAAAACCACGAGTGTCCTTATGGGAGGGAGGGGGCAGGGCGTGGCGAGGAAGGAGGAGGGAGGGAGGGAGGGAGGCAGGGCGTGGCGTGGAAGACAGAAGAGGAAGACAGGATGCGACCGTGGAGGCAGGGGAGGTGGGCACTGTGCTATGAGGCAGCAGACCGAGGACTGAGGACAGCCTCCAGAAGCTGAAAGGGACAGGAATAGACTCGCTGGGGCCCCCTGAGGCTCCACCAAGGCCCATTTCGGACTTCTGGCCTCTGCAAATGTGCAGGAATACATTTCTGTTGTTTAAGCCCCAAAGCTGGTGATTTGTTTCAGCAGCTACAGGAGAGTCATGCGGTGCTAATTAGAAAGTAAAGTACGCACAGGAGTACCACCCAATTCAAGGAAAATTAAAACACTCTGGCTCGGTGTTTTGTGTGCTTCCCACGCAGCGTGTGTTGTTATAACTACCATGTTCTCCCTCATCCTGACTCTCGTTTCGCCCATTCAGACGAAGATATAAGTCAAAAGACAGGGAAATCAGAAACGAAGGCGCTGCCATCCCCTCCTGGCTGCGGGTGCAGCGCCAAGCTTCCTCTCAGTATTCCTTCCCGTCCTCCGCCCTGAAACTGGAGCCGCCCTCCTCCTGAAGTCGCAGTCCCCACCTGGGACTGGCCACGTCCTCCGCCCTCACCAGCCCCTTAGCTGTACCTATGCCTGGCCGCTGACCCCTTCCTCTCGGACATCCTCGCTCTAACAAGGGAAAAGGAGGCCTGCCCTTGGACCCTGGGCGCTTGGGCCTCCAGCCCCTCCTCTCTGCCATGCGCTGGCTTCCTCCTCACCTCCTGCCCCCCAACAGTGCCCCCCTGAGCCCTCTGGCCAAGGGCCCCTGCCCTCTCGCACCCTCTCCACAGGCCGAGCCCACAGCCTTTCCTCAGCCCTTCTCTCTGGAGAGCTCCCTGTGACCTCCAGCCCTGTTCAGCCCACCCAGCAACTCCCCCATCAGCGGCCACCCCTGCCTGGGTGGCGGGCGCCCTGGTGACGGACCGCCCCATCCGAGGAGCATCCCTGAAGCCTAGGTCCTACGCTATGCATGTCATGGGCACTATCTTCAGTCACAAAACCCAGGGCAGGGTGAGAAGGCACTTTTATGAAACTTCAGCCCTGGCTGGTGTGGTTCAGTGGACTGAGCGCCGGCCTGTGGACCAAAGGGTGGCTGGTTCAGTTCCCAGTCAGGGCACAGGCCTGGGTTGCAGGCCAGGTCCCCAGTAGGGGGCGCACGAGAGGCAAACCCACATCCATGTTTCACTCTCTTTCCCTCTAAGACTAAATAAATAAAATATTTTTAAAAAAGAAAGAAACTTCCCACGGTGATAACTATCTTTCTCAAGTAAAACTCACTTTCTCCTGCTCGTCGCTCTCTTGCCACTGCCCATCCTGAGTCTCAGACCCCTCGCAGAAACTGTGGGGCTCCTCACGCTGTCACCCCAGCCTCTCCAGGCCCCGCCCCACTCCTGCCAGACACCCCCCACCCCGCCGGCCACCCCGGGGGGCCGCCCTGTCTTCCACCCTCCTCTCCGGGAGCGGGAAGGAGCAGTCCCCTTCCAGGCAAGACCCCGCTGTCCCTGTCCTGTAGGTCCTGCACCAACCAGCACGTGACACTGCGGCAAGGCTGCGACCCACGGGTCCCTGAGGCAGACGGCGCTCCGCACGGGAGCACCTGACCTGCCCCAAGGCAGGCCCCGCTGCCGACCCCACCCTCGCCCAGGGAACAGCACACGGGGCGGCCGCCTGCCCCGCCCGGCCGCTCTGGGGCCTCTGTGCACACCCCACAGCTCCGGGGACGCTGTCCACCCAACAGGCCAGGCACTGCCGTCCGCGCCCCACGGCTCCGGGGACGCTGTCCACCCAACAGGCCAGGCACTGCCGTCCGCGCCCCACGGCTCCGGGGACGCTGTCCACCCAACAGGCCAGGCACTGCCGTCCGCGCCCCACGGCTCAGGGGACGGTCTGTCCACCCAACAGGCCAGGCACTGCCGTCCGCGCCCCACAGCTCCGGGGACGGTCTGTCCACCCAACAGGTCAGGCACTGCCGTCCGCGCCCCACAGCTCCGGGGACACTGTCCACCCAACAGGCCAGGCACTGCCGTCCGCGCCCCACAGCTCCGGGGACGGTCTGTCCACCCAACAGGTCAGGCACTGCCGTCCGCGCCCCACAGCTCCGGGGACGCTGTCCACCCAACAGGCCAGGCACTGCCGTCCGCGCCCCACAACTCAGGACGGTCTGTCCACCCAACAGGCCAGGCACTGCCGTCCGCGCCCCACGGCTCCGGGGACGCTGTCCACCCAACAGGCCAGGCACTGCCGTCCGCACCCCACAACTCAGGGACGGCTGTCCACCCAACAGGCCAGGCACTGCCGTCCGCGCCCCACGGCTCCGGGGACGCTGTCCACCCAACAGGCCAGGCACTGCCGTCCGCGCCCCACAACTCAGGACGGTCTGTCCACCCAACAAGCCAGGCACTGCCGTCCGCGCCCCACAACTCAGGACGGTCTGTCCACCCAACAGGCCAGGCACTGCCGTCCGCGCCCCACAACTCAGGACGGTCTGTCCACCCAACAGGTCAGGCACTGCCGTCCGCGCCCCACAACTCAGGGGACGTTACGTCCACACCCCACAGCTCAGGGGCCACTGTCCACACCCCACAGCTCAGGGCCGCTCCGTCTACATCCGACCGCCCCGACGCGCAGCGGAGCCGGGACGGGGCGGCCAGCGGCGCAGTTAACCTCCAGCGTCGGGTCCCCGGAGACGCCTCGGCCCAAACAATGCGGCGCCTGTTAGGTCCGGCAGGAAACCGGGAGCCCGCAGGCAGCGAGCGGGGCGCTGGGCACGGCCGGCGGCGTCCCGCCCCGACCCCGGCCCCCGCGGTCCTGTCCCGCCCAGGACCGCGCCGGCCTCGCGGCGACCCACACCCGGGCTCACGACAAGTCCCCGGGCGCGGGCTGGGAACAAAAGGAGGGTGGCCGGCGGCCGCGTCCGGGCGGGGGTCTCCCAAGAGCCGGCGGCCCAGAGGAGCCGCCCCCGGCCGGCCGCCCCTGCGGCCCTCCGCCGCGCTGGGCTGGGCGGGGCCGGGCCGCGGAGGGCACGAGCACGCGCCCGGAGAAGAAAGAAAGCGGAGGCGGGGCGGCCCTGCCCCCGGCCCGCAACCTACCGGCCGCTCGCTCCGCCGGCCGTGTCCGCGCCTCCCGCGCGCCCAACGGTCTCCTCAGCCGCCGCCGCCCGGGGCAAGGGGCGGGGCCGGGCCGGGCCGGGGGCGGGCCCGGAGAGCCGGGCCTAGGGGGTCGGCGGGGTGGGGCAGGGGGCGTGGTCTTTCTTGGGCGTGGCCTCCGAGGAGACGGGGCGTGGCGTCCACAGGCGTGGGCGTGTCTCAGGAGGGGGCTGCGAAGCGCAGACTCTGAGTGGGTCGGAGCCTTTAGGAGGAGGGGCCTACACCCGGCGAGAAACTGGACACCCGGCGAGAAACTGGACGCCCGGCCGGGCCGCTAGGGGCGGGGCATCCAGAGAACCAAGGTGGGAAGGAACGGGGGCGGAGCCTTCAGATAAGAAGGGGAGTCGTGCGGGGGCGGATCTGGAGTAGCGGGGCCTACCAGGCCTGGGGCGGGACTTCCGCCGCCCAAGCTGTGGCAGCCGATCCCGCTAGCCCCGGAGGAATCTTGAGTCCCCGTCCCGGGTTCCCTCCGGGCCACCACCCGGCCTCGCCAGTGCCCCGGCCCGGCCTGCCCCGCCCTCTCCTCCGACTGTTTTCCGCTGACTTTGATGCTCTTCCAGATCGCGTTTCACGAAAATCGTTTTATTTTTAAAAGAGGAAAGCGGCTGGCCTCCTGCAGGTGGGAGAGGCCGGCCGGCGAAGCCCAGCACGACCCGGGGAGAGCCCGGAGCCTGCTTCCCTCCGGCCCCCTGCCCCGCCTCCGGCCCGACAGCCGCCTCTGCCCCTGGAGATCTGCCTGGGTTAGCTCTCCACCTCTCGTTGTCTTCTTCCTCCGCAGCCACTATTTATTTGGACATTCCGTACAGTGGCCTGCCGAAGTATTTTCAGGAAACGGGCCACCGGGCGTTTATTGCACATCTAACTCGGGGAAAAGCAAGTCCAGGACTCCTGGCCAACTGGGCCCTGGCGGTTTCCAGCTTTGCAGCCTGCACCCCAACCCCGCTGTAGCCTCCTGGGCTGTACAGCCTAGTGACAAATCCACAGGCTATCACTCCAGCCCCGCCACCGACTGAAACAGAGAACTGAGTTATGCTTCGTATGCCGTCCAGTGCTCCCCAAATGACAGCTACCTGGAATGTCGTCAGTATTTGCAAATACAATACTCGGCTGGAACTGGCATTAGTGAATGAGCGCTTCTCAGAGAACAGAAAACGGTGACCCTGAGGCCCGGGGACCTCGTCTGCACAGCAGCGCTGCCACGGACCGAATGTTTGTGTCCCCACAACTCCTGTGTGCGATGGTGTGAGGAGGCGCGGCCTCTGGGAGGTGATTGGTCGTCAGGGTGGGGCCCCCTTGAATGGGATCTGTGCCCTTGTAAAAGGGACCCTAGAGAGCGGCCTCGTCCCTCTTCCATGTGAGGCAACAGTGAGAAGTCAGCAGTCCGTGAGCCAGGCAGTGGGCTCTCAGCAGACGCCATGGCTGTGAGCGCCTTCCGGCCTCCAGAACGCTGAGAAAGTTCTTTCCAAACGCCCGCCCCACCCTGTTTGGCACTTCTGTGATGGCAGCTGGGCCGACTGAGACAGGCAGCCACGTCCACCCCCGCGGCGCGCGGCGCAGGGCCGGAGGGCAGTCGGAGACCACTGCCCCTTTCCCATCGCCTCACAGGCCCGCCCCCGCCTCCTGGAATTCTGTCTTCTCCAGCCTGGTCCCAGCCACCCCCCAGCTCGGGACAGCTTTTTCACCCCCTTCTGGCTTCCCCAGTGCTGGGTCCTCTGCTCCTCCCTCTTTCCCGCGCCTCCTTCTCCCCTGCCTCCTTTCCCTTTAAACACTCACTCGCTGCCTGCCACCCTCCAAACTGTGCACCTTGGGGACTCTGCACGGCCCCCCTCCTGTCTTCTTCCTCTTCCGAGTGCGTCTCTGTCTCTTACTTGTTTGACTTCAAGGACACCCCTTTCCCTCCCTCTCTCTCCCTGCCCCACCCCCAGCCCTCTTGGCAGCTCTCCAGCACTAGGTCTTCAGTTGGTACTTCAGGTCCCAGGAGGAAACTCACAGCGTTCTCAGATGGGGAAACCCGAGAAGACTCCAGGGAAGCCCGGCTCTGCAGGGAGACCAGAGCTGTGCAGAGCCAGGCAGAAATGACAGGGAGGGGACCAACCGGCACCACCTCCATGGCTGAACGAGTGGGAGCAGCCCCTCCCTAGGGGCCGCGGAGAGCCGAGGCGGGGAGAGGGTGAGAGAGAGAGTGCACGCCCTTCTCTGCTGTCTGCTCCCTCTGCCTCATGGATCTCCCCAGGTCAGCTTCCCTGGCCTCTGCCCCACCTGCAGGGTACCCGCTAAGGGACGTCCGCCTTGGCTGGCACCTGCTCACCCCTGCCCTGCCCCCCCCTCGTGTCTCCAGCCGTTCTCCAGGTGCCCTGCTGTGGCTGAGGCCCCCTGCCTCCCTGCCTGCTGCAGCCAGTCTCAGCCGCCACCACCGGCTCCTCCCTCGGGGGCCGCTGGGAGCCAAGGTCTGGAGCCAAGGGCGTCCCTGAGTGGGGCCCCGCCCCCTTGGAGGTAGATGTGTCAGTGTCTGCCGGCCTCGCGGGCGGACCTGGGGCTCGAGCAGGGCCCTGCAGCAGCTGCGGAGCTGGGGTTTGGCTCCCAAAGCCTAGCACAACCCTGTGGCTCCCCTTCCCCCCTTCCCTGGACCACCACCCAGAAGGGACTCCGGGACCCAGGGGACCCAGGGTCTCCTGGCCGGAGCCGCCCAGTGCCAGCACCTCCCCCACCTCCCTGAGCTGAGCACAAGGCCCGGGGACCCTGCCGTCTGCACACAGAAACCCGATCGTCTGATTCCTGGGGCCTGAGTTTCAGGCTCCCTCAGCACCAACCTGAAGGGCAGCCACAGCTGGGCCAGCCTGAGGCTGCGGTGCCGTCCCTCTCCCCTGCGTGGGTGCCCTCTGTCCTGTCCTCGTCCTCAGCGGGCGGCTGCAAAGCACCTGCTCCCACGCCTGCCAGCCGCCTCCTCACCTGGCAGGGCTCAGCTCCGGTGTCCTGTGCCACAGCCCGCTGCCCAGAAGGAGCTGCTGCCATGCGCCCACCAGACCAGCACACGCACCTGTCACTCTGTGAGGAGGTCGAAGTCACATCGGTCTCAAGCCCCTCCCACCACGCACCCCCAGCCCGGAGCTCCCGGACAGGAAGGGCTGCAGCTGGCCACCAGGCACTGCTGGGCTCCTGCCTGTGCCAGGCGCGGGCTAGGCCTGAGGGCTCCCGGGGGCCAGCCTGGCAGGTGTGGGGCCTAACCCGCGGGGTCGCTCAGGAAGGGGGCGGGGGCCGCGCCTAGGAGCCCGGGCAGGTGTGTGCTTCTGGAAGAGCCCTCGTCTGCACGGGGGTGGGGGGCCGGGGGTGACCGCGGAGCAGGGCCCTCACAGCGGGGCGCGCCCTGGGGAAGGAGCCGCGTGGACTGGGGAGGCCGGAGCCGGTGGCGTGGGCGGCTGAGGCGGAGGGGCCCTGGAACAAGGACCCAGGGGTCCACAGGACCGGAGGAGGTCAGGGTCCCCCAGAGGGTTGGGGCAGGCGGGGGCACCAGGACTCAGGTGGGGGCTGAGGGCCCGCCCCGGCCCCCTCCCACCCCGCCCCCACCTGCAACGCCCTGGCTCCAAGCCCCGCTCATGGGACCTTCCCTGGGGAGCAAGACCCCAACCCAAGCGCCCACCGAGCTGTCAGCCGCGGCTCTGTGCTTTGCGACTCGTTAGGATCGGTGACCAGACGAAATAAATCCAATGAAGCATAATGTTGTTATTAAGAAGAAGGCATGAAAGTCATTAAATAGAGCGCTTTGTGACTAAATAGAACTCGGGTTAACAGGAGACCCTGTCCCCAAATGGGACAGGCGTTATAGAGTAGCCATATCGTTACCGGACAGAACACACGCCCTCCCAGCCAGACCCCCTTGTTCCCTCAACGGGGCTTAACTCTTCCTGGGGCCCTGGGAAGGAGCCGGAGGGGCAGCTGGTGGCCCGGGGACAGGGGGACCCACAGGCAGGCCCACCTCAGGCGAGTTCACAGAGCAGGAAGGGAGCCGGGGCGGCGCGCAGGCGGCCCTGCTGTGCAGACCTGTGAACCGTCTCGCTTGTTGGCGCCTGAACTCCCAGCGACAGCATCGCCCCTGCTGGGAGAGTGCCTGTCGGGAGAGCGTTTCCCCTCACAGGAAATGCACACAACATGAAACAACTCAGAGAGATCGCCTCCGAACAGGGGAAGGACATGTGACAAATCCCCAGACATTGCGGTTTGAGTCCCTTGAGCAAGGACCGCCGTCCTGAGCGCCTTGCCGCCCGAGGCTCCCCCTTCTGGCCACTGGGTGGGCAGGTGGCTCACCCGGAGGCGGATCCGGGGAAGGAGCCATCCTTTCCTTCCAGCCATGAGCCTCTCTAAGTCGTCCCCCGGACCCGTGCGCGCGCGACGCGGCCGGCCCTCGCCCCGCGCACCGCGGTCCAGGCCGAGTCCTGCAGAGGGGAGCCCACCCCCGCCCCCGCTCTGTGCAGAGCCCCTGGGGCAGGGCAAGCGCCAGTGACCGCCTCCAGTTAGGCGCCTACCAGGTGCGGGGCAGCGCGCTGGGTGCTTTGCCCGCCCTGACCTTTTGATCCCCACACAGGATGAGGACACAGAGGCCCAGCCGAGTCCTTCCCTGGGTGCGGGCCCTGCCTGTCCCCTGAGCTTCCAGAGGCCCGGCGCACACCAGGCGACTGCAGAGGCCAGAGGGGCTGCCCTGTCTGTTGTGTGCCCTCTGCTGTCTGAGACCTGGGGACCACCTGGAGCGGCCCCACTGAGCTCCATGTCCCTGGGGAGACACCCAGAGGGCACACGGGGAACCCAGAGGGCAGACGGGCTCAGGAGGGCAGGGCCCAACAGTCGGCTGCCCTCTCAGGTCAGCGCGTCAGGGCTCTTGGGGACGAGCCACAGGAGCAGATCGAGGCTGGGGCACCGCGTGTGGGGAGGGGACAGTGGGAAGCCCCCTGCACTCAGCAGGACCGGGGCAGGGGGTAGGGCAGGAACACTTGACCCGAATTTAGTGTGGAACTTTGATT